CACAAAACACTTAGTTGTAACTTGTTAGTATTAATTTACATAAGAATTAGTTATTAAATTGTTATAATTAATTGTTAAAGTTATTAAAGACACTTAATTTTTCTTTTCTACTTAATAAATAAAAAAGACAAATGTCAAGAAATTAAAAGACACATGGCAGCTTCTCATGCCTTGAACTTTGAGAAATCTTACTATATTATATATGATTTAAGATGAATTTGCCGACCAATTTATACAAAAAATAATCATACAATACATATATGAGCTAAATATGTGAATAATCAATCATTACTATATAGACAAAGAGTGTAAATAGTAACGGCTAAATCCGATTGAATTGCAGAATCTGTCTGAATTTTTGTTGACTGAATCTGGCAGAATAATTTAAAATTTAAATTGTAACAGCTGAATCAGGCGGAATTTAGTTAAATATTTAGAAATAAATGAATTAATTAAACTTAAGAAAAGATTAAAGAATATTAATCAAATAATATCTCGTCAAAATTAAATATTTATCTTTACAAATATATGAAAATTTATTAAAATAATATATATTTTTTTAATTATTTCATAAACGTAACTTACTTATAATTTTGTGACAAAAAAAAAACTTACTTATTAATATTTTTTCATGCGTTAATAACTCTCATTTGTATTAAGGTACATTCTTTAATTTTCATACACTTGATAAGATCAAATAAAAATAAATGATTTAATACATAAAAAGGGAGAGAAATCAGAATATTATTCAACAACTTTTGTTATTTTCTGCAATTTGTTTTCTTTTGTTCTGCTGAATTCAGCTGCATCAACTGGTGTATTAATGCAAAAATTCAGCTGAATTCATCTCAATTCTACAATTATGCTAACACCAGTTAGACCCAAAATCGAAAGAGTTTGTTAGACACATTATTTTAGCATGTGAGAGAGAGGCAGACGTGAGTTATTCTTCTATTTATTTCCGTTTATTCTTTATTTGGCAAAATTATTTTCTACCCTTTTTTTTTTTACCAACCTATTAATTAAAAATTGTCACCACAATTGATAATCCAATTAGGCAGAATGTTGTTTACATATGAAAATGTAAAAAAACTTTAACTCGTGCAGAATAGATCAAACAGTTAAAGAATATTAAGAGAAACGATCACGCATCTCCCTGAACTTAGCTGATAAAATAGAAAGCACATGATACTCCTCTAGATATCGGACAATATCTACCAAGTCAGAACAATATGTCTCAAACTCATGGCAATCCATTTTTTTTATATAGACACGAATTTTTCAAAATTGCGAATATTGTTTTAATTAAAAATATCTTGTACTATACAAAAACACAGAATATTATGATATAACATACCATAACTCTTACATTAACC